TTGTCCGCAGCAGCCTTAGGCCGCACTGGTTGAGGAGGGGTGGAAAGAGTCTTGTTTAAAGCAAGACAGTGGAAATAAGAGTTCATACTGGGAAGAGAAAACACTTCTGAGAGATCAGCGTGCCTGTCAGTGTAAGCCGAGAGGCATGAGCCAGGAATTAACTCCTCTCTCACTAAGCGCCTACAGACTGGTTCTTCTGTGTCTGACTGTTAATGGAGGGGGCAGTTCTGCTAGCCCAGCTCTTAGGGGCCTGCCGTTCTAATGAGGGCGTTGGGCGTATAGCACACTGAGAACACTCATACAGGAAAATGCAGCTAAACACTGGGCGATGGCAGGAAGGGACCTGCTCTTGCAAGAGACCAGGTCTTCTCGGTGGTGGACAGGAGTTGAGCCCCAGGGATGCGATAGGGGCAGCTGCCTACCAGTGCGGATGGACAGGCTGGAGGAAGTTTCGTTTGGGGATTGCAAGGGAGGAGAGGCTCTGAGGTAGGTTATGAGAGATGAGGAGCACGAGGTGGATAGAGGAAGGGATGAAACCGGTGAGCTCTTCCCAGTGAAGAACCCTGTCTTAACAGATACCATTTCCTGGCCTCACCTGTAAGCAGGCACCCATGCATCTGCTCTGTTGGGGCCTGTAGAAGTGACGCAGGTCCATATTTACTCAGGGTCAGAGTTCAAACCTATCCTTGCTCTTTCAAGGTTGAAGGCCTAAGACCTCAAGGTCTAAGGCGTGGCTACCAAAGGATGTTTGGCCTAAGGTGTGGTCACTGCATGTCTTAATCCTCAAGGTCAGATAGCAAGAGGTTTGATCTTAGGCGTGGTTACTGGATGTTTTGAGAATTAAGGAAGTATTTATGTCTGTTTGCTCCTTGTACCAACGGAAAGGAAGTCCTTTGGCCTCTCCTCCGCCTTTTGGTTGGGGTATATGAAGATTTGAGTAATAAACGTGTCACAGATCCCAGGATTCATTGGATGCCCTCCTGACTCTATCTTCTGTCTCTAGCCTGTTTCTTTCCCCAGTCCGCACTCCCCCTTTCAGGTACGAACTGGACTAGTAGGCTGGACTGAACACTGCTCACACACATACACATTTAAAAAAACTGACTTTCTTTCTAGGTGGTTTCCTTTTCTCACATACTGTAGCATCACTAAAATATTATGCATTTACTTTCTCAATGTCAGCTCCCTTTAGATGCTTTCATCAACAAATTAAACTTATTTAAACCCCTTAGTGTCTTTATGTAAGAAGTACACAAGCATCCTCGTGTACTCCTTTGACAAAGGTAGCTAATTGGATCCTCAGTGATACCCACTTCACAGCTTTGCTTTTCTATAAATTGCTGTAGCTTATTTTAGCGAATCAACTTGTGAAGCTTCCTCAAGTTCTGTTATTTTTTTCTCCTCCCCTTCCCTTTTATCACACGCTTTCAGATTTAATTTGGAGTCTTGAGACACCCTTATTTCTGTACATGTTAAGGTCCCCTTAGACAAGCTTCCTGCCAGAGAAATTAAAGATTGAGAATGAACCCAGGACCTGGGATTTGGGCTTAATTTAAGAAGTGATGTCTATTGTTGATGAGTAGAGAAGAGATTGTCCTGTAATGATTAAGAGGTCCCTAAGATCCGGGCGTTGGTGGTGCACACCTTTAATCCCAGCACTCGGGAGGCAGAGGCAGGCGGATCTCTGTGAGTCCGAGACCAGCCTGGACTACCAAGCGAGTTCCAGGACAGCCTTCAAAGCCACAGAGAAACCCTGTCTCGAAAAACCAAAAAAAAAAAAAAAAAAAAAAAAAAAAAGAGGTTCCCTAAGAAGAAAAGAGAGAGTGCTGTGGGATATTTGATGAGTCTATGTTCCTGCTGTAACATACAGGAGCGCAGCTGTGTCTGGATGTCAATGTCCTGCTCAGGACCGTGGCTTGAAAACTCGACCAGAGAACAATGGGATGGATGTCCTGAGAGTACAGTTCTCTCTGACAGCTTTCCTGTGGCTTAGCATCCCTTCCCGGTCTCCTCTGCCTTCTGGACTATTCTTGTTCTGCTTAAGTGAAGTTGCACATTAGCTATGGATATGAGAAAACACCTGCACACATAGATAGATGTCTGTTTAAACACGTGATGTCATGAGAACAAACCAAGCCTGTCCAATGGCTGGTGTGGGTTAGCCTACATTGTAACCCTGCTGGAAGCAACTTGAAATTTCTTCTTGTCGTGTTGTGGAGCGTGACCAGATCTGCAGTGTTAACTGTGGGGATAGTAATTCAGATGGAATTTTCTGACACATTACAGTTTTCTTTCTGAAAAAGTTGAAATGTTGTTTGTCAGGTTTTTTCTTATGAATTTTTTATGATTAAGTTTTGCATTTAGGAAAATTGACAGATCTGAAAAATATATAAAGCAAGTTAACCCTAACTCAGAAGGATAAATATTGCATGTTGTGTCTGAAATGCATACCCGAGCTTTAAGTGTGTGTATGTGAGTATGTGAGTGTGTGTGTATAAGTGTGTGTGTGTGAGTGAGTGTGTGTGTATGTGTGTGTGTGTTTGGGTCTAGGTCATGTAATCAGAAACGGGAGAACAAGAGGGAAAATGGGGTTGAAGAAGGTGAGTAATAGAACATAGTGACAACAAAGGAGGAAAGGGGAACAGAGGATCAGCAGAAACAAAATTACGTTTGAAAAAGTCACAGTGAAACTGAATGCTTTGTAGACTAATTAAAAAAACATTTTTTTAAAGATTGCTTTTTGATCCAAACCAAATCACAGTTTGACACACAAATGACAGTCTGGTGATGGTTGTAAAGGGCACAGACATGGGAAGGGAGAAAAGGGGTGAATAAAAATCTCGGGAATGTCGATTTCTGGCCAGCAGGAAATGGATTTATTCTGTCTGGCAGGGTGACAGTGAGAAAGTTTATGTAGAAGTCAGAGAATCATGAAATATCTGTGTTTTGGAGACTCTCAAGTTTTCACATGACCAAAGATGCATCTCCCATGGATGACACACACAAAGAGAAGAGAGGTGACGCTTTGAAGCCGGCCAGTGCTTCCATCTAGGACTCAATGTGAACCCTCCAGGGCTAACTAGCTCAACACATTCCTCGCTACCCAGCAGCCACGCAGGGTGAGGCTAAGGGAGTGAAAGAGTCTGGGAAAGGGTTTGCAAATGTCCTCGTCTATTTCTCTTTGCAGATTGCAGCCTTATTTAAAGCCCGGGGCACTGAGACAGCCACAGAAAAACCAGTCAGGACACGAAGAAAAACAGCCAAGGTTTTCCTCATCCTTCCTCTGTGCTTGAAGCTGAGAGACATGGAGTCTAATTCCAATTCTGACTCTTAACAGTTTCGGGTAAAACATTAACCAGCCTGTAACTCAGATGCTGCATTGTAAAACGAGAGGGTTGGCCTAAATCAGCGGCTCTCAAATGTTAGCATGCATCAGAATCACTTGTGGGGGTGGAGGGTAGGGTAGGCAGGGGTGGGGGATAGTTGTGGCCTTAATGTTCGTTCTGGCTTAGTTGATCCAGGTGGGCCTGATAATTTGCATGTCTAAGCATGAGCATTGTCTGAGGATCACCTTTGAGAGCTAGTGACCCGGAGATGTCTTTTCCTGTGCAAAACACATCTTAATCTTCTTACCTTAATCTCTGCGGAGGGAAGTTTCCCTCTCACGGCACTAGGGGAGGCTGGGCCACTGAGATGTTGTGTTGATGAAACCAAGCTTCGTGAGGTCTTCAGGCTGGAGGCACATCTCAAGTATTTAGTACACTTATTATGTTGACGGCTCTAAAGTTGTAAGAGGAATGTGAGAAATTTAACTTGTCTGGCAAAACAAAATGGGGGACTGTGTTGTACTGTAGTGTTGGAGGCTTCCCAGGCATGTCTTCTGATGGAAGGCAGTGCCCAGATAGACCTTTGAGTTTAAATTAGGGTTGGTGAGAAATGGAAGACCAAAGCTCTAAATAAGAAAACGTGAAAAGAGAATTTCATAGAGCCATCACCTAAAGAATTCTTGGTCAGAGTTTTTAGTGGCATTACAGCTTTTAAAAACAAATTTTATCATAAAAAAATTGCAAATAGATAAAAAAAAACCTATCACCCCCCCAAACCCTGATGCATCCCAGAAAGCCTGCCAAATGATGACCCCTCCCCCAGAGATACTCAAGACAAGTCCCACATCGTATTTAGACTGCCCACCCCCCAGGAAATAAATGTATGTTTTTCTAGTCTCTCTTTCCTGTCTTCTCTATGGGTGGCTGGAAGGTCATCCAGGTGCATTGTATCCATTAAACATGGGCTTTTTATGATTCAGTCTAATTTGGATTGCTACATCGGTGGAGAGGCTTATCAGGGTGCAGAAACTTTTCAAACATCACATATCAAAATTAACCAGACCCCGAATCTATACCACCAAATGAACTTAGATTAGAATTGCATTTTTAGCATTGGATGTACTTTCTCAGTTAAGATGACATGAAGCTGTGTTTTTAATTCAACTTCTTGATCTTTGGTATAAGCATACTTAGTCTTTCTATTGTGTTCAAAGCAAGCCATTAATTAAATGAGGAATTCCAAACAAATTATTTCCTCCTTGTTCTGATTAGAGATCAGTTTTGCCTATATCACTCTTTCTTTGGAAACATGTGCTGGGCAAGACGGGCTGCCTTGGGGTTTCTGGTAGTGCAGTTGCATTATGTATTATGTCACCTAATTGCTGAATGTCTATGCCACTATGTCTTTAATCACTGTCTGCTTTCAGCCAGCTTTTAAAAATCAGTATCCCTAAGAGACAGAACACACCTTTTATTTACTTCTGAAAGAAGTGTGTTTTAGTTGTAAAACTGCATCCCCAATATGTAATGTATTATCTTCTATTTCTTTACTTTAAAGAAAATGACCCTAAATTTGATTAAGCCACTTAAAAAGAGATAACTTGATTTTCTGTCATAAATGTCTAATATATTGGAAATCTGCTTCTGTTTCAGTGACCTATGACCCCTGTAAAATGCACATTTTTCACAGAAAGAAGAAAGACATCAGGGCTGGCTTTCCCTTGGCTGTAAAACAAGAATGAAGCATTTTACCTTGTTTTTCACCCAATACAGCGGACAGGAGGATTGGCCTTTCCAGAAAAGAAAAAAAACCCTGCTAGATCACTTAAAGGCCATCTGGGAAACTTGTTACGGGCAGATAGCTGGTGACTGTCCTGGGCCCCCAGAGGCCAGCAGGGCACCATTGTCTGCATGGTACCATAAAGGGACCTCCACAGCTGGTGTCCAGGGCTCTGAAACTAACAGCTAATTTCTTCCTTTTTTTTTCCATACGTCGGGTTGATTTGCGACATCATCTGGTGGTTTTGTTTTTGTAAGAAATTCCTTCGCAAATAGAAACTATAAAAGAACTCAACATGGCCACAGCAGAAGGGTAGGCGGTAGCGAGTGATGGTGTGGATGCTGAGAGACTGGACCCAAAGTGAAGTAGCACTCTCCTGGCTCATAACACCCTTTTGGGAGACGCCCATCAGAATACCCGAGGTTGGGAAAGCTCAGAGAAACCAGGTCTTGCTACTCAAAACAGTTCAGACTTTCTGCAACCAGATCAAGACTACGAGGCCTCAGCCATGCCCACGGTGATACCCAGCCGATATCTCCCCAGCTGGTCTAAGCTCCTGTCCTCCCAGGAAGGAGGAAGCCATCTTTAAGACCAGCTTTTCACATTTCTCCAACATTCCCTGCAGGATCTGCACTGATCTTTACTACAAAACCCTCAGCTCTTTTTTAAACTTTACCTATCTTCTCTGCTCCCTATTATTAGTGCTTACTTCCCTAATTATTCACAAAGAACATTTTACAATTCATGTGTGTTGTAACCCACACCTCTTTCTTTGTTCTTATGTGAGAGCAAATCTACCATTCTAGAGGTGGGCATAGAAGAAAAGAGCTTTAGTATTTAAAAATGAAAAACAAAGAAATGCACAGAACAGCTCTTATTTTAATTAACTTCTTAATATAGGACTTGCTACTTCAAACCAGTTGTCATTAAATCTGTTCAGCAGATGTCAACAACACATTGTAACATAAGCAGTCTATGTTGGCTAGTTTTATAACTTGACACAAACTAGAGTCATCTGAAGTAAGGGAACCTAAATTAGGAAAATGAGTCCATAAGATCCACTGTCACAAATTTTCTTAATTAGTGATTGATAGGGGAGGGCCCAGTCCATTGTGAGTGATGCCATCCCTGGGTTGGTGGTCCTGGGTTCTATAAGAAAGCAGATTGAGCAAACAAAGAGAAATAACCCAGCAACAGCATCTATCCATGGCCGCTGCATCAGTTTTCTGCCTCCAGGTTCTGTTTGAGTTTGAGTTTCTGTCCTGGCTTCCTTCAGTCATGTACTACAATTTGGAAGTGTAAGGCAAATAAACCCTTTCATCCCCAACTTGCTTTTGATTATGGTGTTTCACCACAGCAATAACAACTCTGACAAGGACAGAAATTGGTACCAGGAGCCGGGTACTGCTGTAACAGACCTGATCATGTTGGTTTGGGAAGGATTGTGGAAAGACTTTGGAACTTAAGTTTAGAAAAACCATTGACTGTTCAAAAGTTGGGGAGCTGTTCTATGGGAGATCGGGAGATAAGAGCATTGGGAGACATGAAGATGATGAAGGCCTGGGTTGTGAAGTTGCAAAGGGAAGTTTGAAAGTTCTGAAAGACTCTACCAGGGGTGTGGAATGGTTGTTAAGATCCTGTGGTTGTGGTTAGCTGGGGCTGAAGAATCACCTGTGATAAACAAGAGAGCAAAACCCCTAAAGTTAAATCTTTGCTTTACTAGGACACTTTGACGTTGGTTAGCTGGAGCTGAGAAATTAGTGGTGGCCAAGAAGAGATCGGAGTCACTGAGGTGAAGTCTTCTGGGAGGCTATTTCATAAGCATCAGCACAGAGAACCCACGTTCAAGAGGTGGCCAAGGCTGTACCTTGCGCTGCCACCTGAACTTGGCTGTGTGAGAGTGACCCAGGTGGTGCTGGTTCTGAAGGCATGATGGGATCGTGGAGGGCTGCTGAGGCTCGGCCCTGTGAGGGGCCAGGAGAGGCCACTGGTGAAGGCGCAGCCTCAGTAGCAGATGAAGCCTCAAAATTGAAGGGGTCATGGAGAGAAATTGAGTCTTGGCACCATGAAGAGAGCGCAGGAGAAGCTATTGGTGAAAATGATGCCGGTATCATGGAAGGACAACCCCAAATAGCGACAGTGGTGGAATGGAGCCAGCTGGAGCCAAGAGTGGGTGAGCTCATATCATTCCACAAGCAGAACGGCTGCTGCAGGGGGGCACAGTGTTTAGGCATGGGTGTTTAGCATTGTTACCTAAATGACCGTAACTACCATTATGTTTTTATAAGAAAGGCTGTAGATTATTTCTTATTCCTGTCTCCAGTGTATTTTGAATCAGACCAGAATGTTCCCTCTGAAACTTGCCATTCCTTTCGGTCATTGTCTTCCCCTCTAATCCTGTCACCTCCTGCTGATTTCATCTCCCTACAGGGTATTTGAGAGCCTCTTACCCTCCCATACATTGGCCAAGCGTGGACTCAGCTCCTGCACACCTACTACACTGTCTTCCCACAGTGCACCTCTGCCATACATGTTGCTGGACCTTGGGGAATCAGCTCCAGAGCTGTGGGCTGGAGAAGGTCTCAGATGATGGTAGTGGAGCCCAACACGGTCAGGTTAGAGGCTACCAACCCCATGCTGGAAAGGGAAGGAGGTCAGAGTTCGGGGGTGGCCGTATGAGAATGTGAGGGTCTAAGAAGGTAAAGAGTTGCCTCTCAGATTCCTTGAGCTGTGGCTGGCTGTGCTGGTGATCGAGAGTGAGGAAGGAGACAGCTGATCACCAGGACAGCCCTCAGCCTGGCACTAACCACTGACCCGAAGCTGAGCCCCTCACCTGGCTCAACAGTGAGGAAACAGTGTCAGCGGCATCCTGCCACCCCTACCGGTGTAAGCTCGGCCTCACCTCATGTGCATATTGATGTAGACTCTAGAACTGCACACTGAAGTTTGCCTGGAGCTATCAAGACTCCAGAGAACGCCCTGCCCTTGTATGGTAGGTGTATTGTCAACCCCATTAGTGAATGAGCGAATTGAGGGTCAGTGAGAGGCTGTGGCTGGGACAGTTGAGCCCTAGTGCTACCCTGTGGTTAAACCAGACCCCTGACTCACATCAAGAAAGATGAGAAGACCCAGAAGGCTGGGGCGTGGGAAAGCAGGGAGCTCAGGGTAGACACGGGAGGAGGGCTGTAGAGCCAGGGGAAGAAAAGGGAAGAGGGGACCAGGCCCACAAGCTGAGTCTTTCCTCACTTGGGCCCACTTACTCCGTTTTCCTCTGAGCAGTCAGTCGGTTACAAGTGACAGCGCTCATCTGGGCTCTTTAAGGGGCTGTTTTCCATCTCAACAACTGCTAACTACAAGTTGGAAAGCTTGAGAAAAATTCGATCCAGTTTTCCAGCATCCCTTCTGGTCATGTCTTCCAGCTCTGTTTCATAAAGAATGTGGAGGGCTGCAAAAATCCTTCAACTGTGCCACATCTGGCACCAAGCCCCACTTTCTCTAAGAAATCCTTGTTAGCTTTCTTTCCATTTGAATAGCTGGGTTCTAAGTTCTGCTGATTTTAACTTAGTGTTGCCTGTAAAATATTCTACTGTAAGTGATTAAATATCTGTTAATTCTGTTATTTGCTAATCTTAAGCCCAAAAAGCACTTTTAGGAAAATGGGATAAAGGCCTGTTGTTTTTAGCTGGGTAGTGGTGATGCACACCCTTAATCCCAGCACTCAGGAGGCAAAGGAAAGCGGATCTCAGTGAGTTCGAGGCCAGGCTGGTCTACAGAGTGAGTTCTAGGCCAGCCAGGGTTACACAGTGAAGCCATGTCTCTATAAAACAAAACAAAACAAAACAAAGCTGTTGTTTTGTTTTTAAAACAACAGACATTAGAGGGCAGTGTTATTTGGAGGAACCCCCCCCCCCCCAGGCCTTTTGCTCTTACTCTGTGGTTTCCAGGTTGAGGTCATTTTTCTGAAGGAAGAGAAGAGACAAGATGATACAGGTCCACAAGTCGCCAAATCGCCAAATCAGTGGGTTTTCAGTGTTTTGTTCATTGGTGTCACCATGGTCTAAAAACTGGTGCAGGACCTAAAGAACTTTTGTGTGGGTTTATGTGAATTATACCTGTCAATATTACTCCAAACAGAAGTTAAAACTGAGAAAATTATGAAATACTTATGATTCATTAAAATGGCTGTGATGATGTTAACAGAAATAACAGGTTAGTGTGGGAGGCATGTATGTATTCGCGTAGGTGCATGCATGTGTGTGTGCACGTGCAGGTACAATTACGCAGACAGGAGGTCAGTACTGGAGGTCTTCCTCCGTTGCTCTCCACCTTATTTTCTGTGTCAGCATCTCTCACTGAGTCTGGAGATCATCAATTCAGCTTGGTTGCTTTATCAATAAACTCTAGGTTATAGACACAAGCCACTGCATTAGCTCTTACGTGGTGCAGCAGGCATTTTACTGACTAAGTGAGCCATCTCCCTAACCTGGAATAATGTATTGAAGAATACATAGACATATCACATAAAAATTATAAGAGGTATTTTATGATATTTATGCAAATGTGTTATATCTGGTTCAGTGGAAGATGTAGTCTTGCATACATGCCCTGTCTGCAGCAAGACAGCAACTCAGGTAGCATCTGGAAAATTCTGACAAAAACATAAATATCATTGAAAATAATATTGACCATATGAAGCTCCTGGAAAGGTCTTAGGGACCAATGAGTCCCCAAACCATACTTAATGTCACATAAAATCATTAAGCCAAAGGCTTAGCACAATCTAAAGAGGTCATCATTTAACTAGCATGGTCACACTTAGTGGTCCTAAAATGTTGGCTATTTACAGGTACTATCAACAGGTTCCTTTTGGTGATTATGCTGTTAGGCATTTCCTTATTTTAAACCTAATCACCTGTGTTTCCTTTGGAGAGTCTGGCATTTGGACAGAAGCAATATAATGATTAAGACAAGCAGCCTTGGGGCTGGGGAGATGGATCCCTTGGCCAAGTCCTTGCTGTGTGAGCATGAGGACAGGAGTTTGAATCCCCAGCACCCACGTACCTGTGGTCAGATTCTGGAGAGCAGAGATAGATGCAGTGCGGGGATTGGCTCAGTAGGTGATCTAGACAACTGTATCATTGGCTGTCTCTGCAAAACCCTATTCCAAAATAAAGTCCATTTACAGGTACTGGGATTGAGGAGTTCCATATACGGTTCTTGGAGACTATGAGCTCAACAGATCCCTTTAGTCTTTGACTGTTTGAAATAGCATTTGTTGGTTTGTACATGCCTCTGCATGTGGTGTATGTGTGTATATGTGTATGTATGCATGTATGTATGTATGTATGTATATGTACTTGAAGGCCAGAGATTGACATCTGGTGTTTTTCCCAATCTCTCTCCATGTTAATTTTTTTTTTTTTTTTTTTTGGTTTTTCGAGACAGGGTTTCTCTGTGGCTTTGGAGGCTGTCCTGGAACTCGCTTGGTAGTCCAGGCTGGTCTCGAACTCACAGAGATCCGCCTGCCTCTGCCTCCCGAGTGCTGGGATTAAAGGCGTGTGCCACCAATGCCTGGCTGACTTGTGGTTTTGATCTTAGCCATTCTGACAGGTGTAAGATGGAATCTCAGAGTCATTTTGATTTGCATTTTCCCTAATGGTTAAATATTTTGAACATTTAAGTGTTTCTCAGCCATTTGAGATTCCTCCATTGAGAATTCTCTGCTTAGATCTGTACCCTATTTTTTATTGGATTATTTGATTTGCTGATGTCAAGTTTCCTGAGTTCTTTATATATTTTGGATATTAGCCCTCGTCAGATGTGGGCTTGTAAGCAGACTTCCTTGACTATGCAGTCTATTTTTGGAGTGTTAGCAGACCTAAGCTCAGAACTTTTCTCCCTGTTTGATCATCTTCCCTAGTGCCATTCCATGCTTGGAGGACTTGGATAGAAGTATGTAGACACCTGGTTCAACTATTCCCTGCTACACAGTCACCCCCTGAGACTGGGAGCTCTCCTGGCCCGTGGGAGGAGTAGAAACCTGGAAAGAGCCCCATCCAGGCACCGGATTCAAGCCTGGGGCTGTGAAACAGTGAATTCTTTGGCTAAATCTATCAAGCAGGTTAAACAGTAGACCCACTGTGTGACAGTTCTGAAGGCTGAGCGTCTGAATCAGGATGTCTGCAAGCTCAGCTCCTTCTTGGGGGTCCTAAGGATGCTCTTCTAGGCTTGGAGATGGCCGTTTTCTCTCTGGCTCTTCCTACTAGTCTCCTTCTCCCAGTGTCCTGCTTCTGTGTCCAAATTTACTCTTTTTAAATTACAACAGTGTTTATTTTGGATTAGAGCTCACCCTGATCTCATTTTCACTTGCTTGTATTTATGTTATTTCCAAATAAGGTCACCTGCTAAGGCACTGACCCTGAGGGGGTCAGGACTTTGGCATATCTCTGATTGAGGTGTTCTGGGGTTCCAGCGGCTTGGCACAGAGTCTGGAAAGCTTGCTTGGGTTCCAAGTGAGCCTTTCTTGTTAGGCCCATAGGTGCTTTTTTTCCCCCTCGGAGGGAGGAGGGTTAGAGCCAGAGAAAGGCCACGGGGCCCCCACACTCTTGTGTCAGCCAGGTAGCTGTGTGCTCTATAGCGCAGCATATGTAATTAGCAACTGGGGCAAACACCACCCTTTCTTCTCGCTCAGCCTTACCATCTCATAGGGAGCCAGCTCCGTGACCTACTGCCAGTAGCAACCCCTGTCTGGCTGGCAGCTTTCTTTGGCTGATGTAGCCTGCTTCATGCCAGGGAATGAATTCTCCCCTGGAGAGGTCAATCCCCGACTGAGCAGAGCTGGTGTGTGAGCCACTCTGTTGCCTCGCCCTTGGAGGGCTAATTCTGAGGAAAGGAAAATATGTGGGCTGGAGTCAGATTTTCCTTCCATATTTTAAAGTTTTTGGTTTTTTTTTTTTTTCCTAAGCCAGGGTTTCTCTGTGTAGCACTGGCTGTCCTGGAACTTGGTCTGTAGACTATAGATCAGGCTGGCCCCCAACTCACAGAGATCCGCCTGCCTGTACCTTCTGAGTGCTGGGATTAAAGGTGTGTGCCACCACCACCCAGCATTTTAAAGTTTCAATAAAAGGTACTTGTTTAATATGAAAAATTAATATTACATATGTATATAGAGAT